TGGGAAAGCTGTCACTTTTAGGCTAGACAAGGAAGCTTCACTTGTTGCTTTGGTTGAGAAGATTGCGCGCCACCGTGCATGCCCAGCCTCAGCTGTGACTACTGATGTTGTACCGGGTTACCGCCCTAAAGCAAGGGAAGCATCGAGAAGCAGGTGGATCTTATGAAGAGCGGTTTTTGGGCGATCTGGCGCAGATGCGCCAGAGGGTATCAAACTCCCTCTAGGTTGGCTATTGTGGCAGGCCGCTATCTTCTACACCACTCGGTGCTACAATCGCTGGAGCTCGGCTCCGGGGAATTCCTCGGTAGCACTTGATCGTTTGCACGAAGAGTATGTGCAGAAGGTCCGCGCCCGTCCGTTTGGGAGCGTCGTGCAGGCTAAGGTATCTAGATCTAAGTCACACTCAGAGCGATTCTGCGGCGCTGGGACGGTGAAGATAGTCTACCTAGGACCCGTTCATGCTAGAGGAGGTGGTGTCTACGGTGTTCCGTTAAATGGCAAGGACATCGACGTGATTCCAGCCGTGGCGCTTGGGAAGGAAGAATCCACGATCGACTGTCCGACCCTTTTGGAGTTAGCCCAGGAAAAGCCCCTCGCTTTGGACGACCAAGCATAGTTACCAACAACATGTTTTTTTCAGTTGTTTTCACTGCCAGGAGCAATTCACACGCGGCATTCCCGTTCTTTTATTGCATCAGGCACGTCACGGAGTCCTTAGCATTTTGTGTTGAACCGCGGCTCAGACTTGGCCGTTCCTGGGCGAAACCATGTGTGATGATGTGCCATGTTGCACCGCAGAATGTCGGAGCGATTTTGCACGGTTGCAGGGCATGCGACTTCGGACTGTCTGGAGCTGGGAGTTTCAAACAGTAGCAGACCCCATACAGGAATCTGCGGAATCCAAAAAGTAGGATCGTCATGATAAGGACCCCTGACCAATGGTGCCCCTGACTTTCTGCAACTCCCAACTGTGTAGGCACAGCAGTGATGAATCGCAGCTAAGTCGAGCTGGCTTCTACTCACATCCTGGGGTTGTGGCCTTTTTGAGATTCTAGGGTTTAGGATCTTTTGAAGAGACATCCTCAAAACCTAAACCCTACACCCCTAAAGCCCTAAACCCTAAACGCCTAAACCCTAAACCCATCCTCAAAACCCTAAACCCTAAACCTCAAAACCCCGGAGCATGTGGCAGAAGGCTCTTCGCTCACTTCAGGACCGTCGGGCCAGGTAGGTCCCCCAGAGCCAAGGAGCTTCCACCTGGCAGGAACTTCCCAGAGACTCCGATATCCCTTAATGAAGGAATATACATGTTAGGGCTTGGGGTTTTATAGGGTTTTATAAGGTTTTATAGGGTTTGATAGTTCCCTTTGTTAAAAAGTACCGCTTAAATCTTATTAGGGTTCCTAGTATACTTTAAAACTTTAAGGTATATTCCTTGTTGGAGTCTCTGGGTTCACGGACAGCTTGCATGGAAAAGGGATCTCTGGGGATTTAATGTAGGGCCTCAATGAATCGAACACGGAGAATCTAGGGTTCCTGTTAAGAGTTCCTGTGAGGCGTTGCCAATACGGGTTCTACGGTAGAGAGCCGCAAGACGAAAAGAGGTTCGGGGGAGGTACAATGTAGTCTATATTGCAAGCATGAGACCCCAAAGCCTCAAAACCGTACAGACAAGACCCTCCACCCACACTAAAACCCCGAACTGAAAAACCTGACTTAAACTCCTAATATCGAACCCCTAAAATCCTAAACCCTGACATGAGGCGTGGCAGGAGGTTGTGGGAATGAAAGAGCCGGCGAGGATTGGTGGTTTGGGGCTTCTTGCCCGGCATCTTTTGCAGCTTGAGGCCGCGAGGTTTAGGGCTGAGGACTGAATCTTTCGATGTAACGTAGGAACCTGATTAAGAAACCCTGGGTCTTTATTAGGGTTCTTAATATGAACCCTAGTATATAATTGTAGACGTAGGGTTTAAGTTTGGGCATATGGGCATATGGATTCAGGATTTTAGGTCTGCCCCTAAACCCAAACCCCTAAACCCTAAACCCCCCTGGGACCCTAACCCCTAAACCCTCCACGAGGTCTCTTCCCTCTTTGCGCTGCATCGAAGTCGGTTGTTTAGAATACTGTCACGAACCCTAAAAGGATGTAAGGTTCGGGGTTTAGGGCTTAGGTAGGGTTTTGTAAGGTTCATAATTATACCACATGAGAATCATATCTATCCGTAACAAACTTTCGGCCTGGCTCTTGCCTTCGACCGCCTTTCCCATAAGGATGGTTTAGGATGGTCTGGGGTCGAGCGTTTGGCGTTGGGGGTTTAAGGTTTAGGGGAGTGTGGTGCTGGCTTCAGTAAATGCTGGCAGGGAACGGCTGGTTGATCCTTTGCACGCGGCATGCTGCGGTTGGCCCGCCGACTGCGCCTCTCCCGGAACAGCTCCTGGACGACATTTCGTTGCAGTTTAGGGGGTTCGAGGGCCTGACTGCTCCGAACGCATCCCTACCATCCGGCCGAATTGATTTTCAAAGGCTGGTAGACTGCGGCTGCGGAGGCAGGCGGCCTAGCACACTTTAGTCACCATGCCCAGCCAACACCGATCTGGAGCCCTCGGACTGTAGGTTTCGTTGGTTGAAAGCCTGTGCGGATGCTGAAGTCATCCCCACCATGTCGATCATACGCCACCTCTTGCATATCAAACCCTATGAAGCCTGAAACACCCAAACCCGACATACACCAGATTCCAGGAAATTCCCAAATACCATGATGAGCAAGATGGTGGAAGCCTCTGGCTTCGGGCTTCTCTTTGAGTCTGGTATCTTGCGGCTGAGGGAGTTTGGGGTTTAGGGCTTCGTGTTTAGGGTTTTGGGTTTTGGGCTTGGGGTTAGGGGTTTCAGCCGAAGGCCTGGATAGCTTTAGCATCTGCTGTTCACGGGATGCAGCAGACCCGAGCCTCCCGCAGCCTAACAAGAACTGGGATCCTGAGCATCGCAACCTACCCAGAGACTCCAATATCCCTTAATTGAGGAATATACCTTAAATCTTATCCAGGGCTCCTATGATAATTTAAGGTATATTCCTCAATTTAATTTAAAGGATATTGGAGTCTCTGGGTAGGTACTGCACTGAAACCTTCGCTCATCCCCCGGCAGTCCCTGACGATCATGAAGATCATGACAGCACCTGGAGCAGGGGCAATCGGGACTCGGCAACGATAGTTCACAGTAACAAGCCAGAGGCCAAAGACAATGGTGCCGGAAATATAAGCCGTATACAATGCAATTCGCACCCAGTTCTGCATCCACGTAAACCTCCAAGGTAGGTTTTACTGAGCTTCCAGCATCTGGGGAAGGCTGGACATGCTTGGGGATGATGCCTACGCGCTGTTGGCTTCAATATTTGCGTCTGCTGTCGTCTCTTATACTGTCGGGCTGCTCTCATGTTGTTGCTGGTGGGAAGGGGTCCCTACTGATGTGCTTACACACAGCCTTTCGTGCAGGATAACACGAATCTGCCTGGGCCTAGACTGATGACGATGCTGCGTGCTTCATAAACAGTTGTGTTTTCAGGATGGGTCCAACAATTCAGAGGATGATACTCCGATCTCCGTGATTTGTGCCTTGAAATCCTTGAGCCAGGGGGCAAGTCAGAGCAGCTAGCCCCACAGTAGAGAAGATCATGGCGAACTCCACATCCAGCATGAGACCCCAGTAGCAGTCGTATGCTGTCCTTGGCAAAGTTAGGGTTTAGGGTTTAGGGGAGCTTCGAATTCACTTACATCAGCAAGCCTTGGTGTTTAAATCTCCGAGAGCTCCGCCACCGCCCCACCCCTGCCGCCACTGCCGGAGCCGTACAAGAAAAGACTGAAATGTGAAAGGCAGACAAGAGCAAGTAAACAAGCACAGCCAGCACAGACTCTAATGGCGATCAGATCTTTACCATAGGAGCAGACGCCTGGAAAATGCAAACCCAGATTGAACACTCCTGGCAAGAAGCAGCCCGCTCACGATGGCTGTCATGAGCGCCGCCGTCGTCAACAGAGTGCATTCCGTCAGGTTGAAGCGCATGGTCTTATAGGGCCTGGAGTGGCATCTACCCAGAAACTTCAAACCATTCACACTGCCATCCCACGCAATCCAAGAGCAAAGAACCATCCTCTTCATAGATCACCCTAAACCCTAAACCCTAAAACCGAAGAGGTGAGATTGCCCTGAGATCCATGAGAACCTGGCCACTTCTCCACACAAAACTCGGAGGCCCCAAAAGGTGGGATGAAGGTAGGTAGGATCAAGGATCCCTTATATAAGGACTATTGTTGGCGAATATCCCACCTACCTTCACCCCACCTTTTGAGGCCTACACAAAACTCCCGGGAGCAGCGAGGCGCAAGAGCGCAGCGTGGAGGTAGAGGGAGACCATGACAACTCCCCCGATGCATACCTGGGTGCTACACTGGGTTTAGGGCTTAGGGTTGTGACGAGGGTTTAGGGTTTAGGGGTTTAGGGTTTAGGGTTTAGGGAGGCAACTCAGGATTTTAGGACTGGGAAGGCTTCGGTTCTTCAAAAACGGGGGTTGTTTCAGGGATGGCCAGTGATGGCTCAGGGGCTTCCTCTACTCGCTCGACGTCTTGGGTGGCTAGTCAACCGGTGAATGGAGAAACGGATGATTTACTTCTGGGTTCTTGCTAAGGATCTTAATTCAATCTGCCCCCCGAGAGAAGAGCATTAGATCGTCATGACCAATTACGGAAACTTAGGTTTAATTGAAGTTCTTAAGAAGAAGTGGGAAACGGATGCAGAATTTCCTAGAAAACCAAACTTAGAGGATGCTTCTGAGGGATCTCTATGCTATCATCCAGTAAAGGGAATTCGGACGTGTGAGGGCGGTAGCCTGCGACCTAGAAGACCTGAAAAGAAGCCAAACGAGCGCTTATACAGAGCATACCCACCAGCTAGGAGCAGGTGGGAAGACTGAAGCACATAAGTTGAAGTGGTCCTTAAATAAATCCTAAACCCTAAACCCTAAACCACCTAAAAAAACACAACTAACAGGGACCCCCGCCAGTTGGAGAGCTGACGAAGAAGTGATGGGCAGGGCAGACACCGCCAGAGTCAGCAAGGTTTTCCTGCTCTCCGGCAGCGGACATCCGGCTGGTGATTTCTTGATGCAAATTTCATGCAGTTGGTAATGCTGCTATAATTCTTAGCATTGCTACTTTTATTGCTGCTGCTGCTACTGTTAGTGTTTAAATGGTGGCGGCGGCGGTGGTGGTGGTGGTGGTCGTGGTGGGGATGGGGGGTCGCGGTGGCGGTGGCGGTGGTCGTGCTGTGGCGATGGATTCGAGAGCTTACTGCTTTGTGGGCCTTTACACATGCTCTGAGGGGGCTGGATTCTACCAGCTTGCTTTGTCGCTGCTAAGGAACTTAAAAAAAAAAGCTACGATAATGATAAGGAAACCCTATTATGTACTGCATATCCCCGTCCGAGTAGCTTAAATCAAGTTCCTGAACAGCAACTCAGAAAAAAAAACGGCTGTTTCGTGTGTGCTTCATCCAACCATCCGAACCCTGGACCTGAGAGCCTGAGCTCTCAAAAACCCTGCACAAACCGGAACAAATGAACCCTAAACTCAGACCCTAAACGCTAAACCCTATTATAAACCCTAAACCCCAAAGTCCTGCACCCTGAACCCCGAAACCCCTCAAACCCCCAAACCCTGAACCCCTAAACCCTGAACTCCAAACCTAAACCCCTCAATCCCTCAAGTCCCCAAAAACCCCCGAAAAGAAGGCCCAACTCCTCATCAGCCGCTCGGACTCCCAGAGTCTGCAACTCTGTCGGTATGCCCGGCTGAGGAAGATGACGTGAAGCGGCGGCTTTGCCCCCTTCATGTTAAGGACCAGGGATTGGGTTTAGGGCTTTAAGGCTCTAGGGTTTTAGGGGTTTTAGGGGTTTTGGGGGTTTTGGGGTTTAAAATAGAACCTCTAAAGAGGCTCTCTTGCATGATTTTGGATTTCTAAAAGGGGTCTGTGACGTGGCGGTAGGCTTTCAGGGGGTTTTTTGGGTATTCAGGCGTCGAGAGCATAAGTTTAGTTCCTTTCCCGGCCTCCTTGGGCAATGACAGGCCAATCCAGATGAAGGACACCACCAGGAAGATCAAGACCATCAGGATGCGGAGGACATGGCGGTGGGATTCTTCCTCCAGGAACGGGCACTCGAAAGTCTTCTGCACCTGTGACGTGCCCTCCGGTGCGAACTGGAAGCCTCGGCAAGATTTAGCGCGTAGCATTTAGGGTGTTGGGGTTTCGGGTCTAGGGGTTTCGGGTTTAGGGGCCTATGGTTCAGGGGTCTAGGGCTTCCATATGGAGAGGTTCAGGGTTCAGGATTAAGGCTCAGTTGGCAATGGATGTATGTTTTTTGTGTGTGCTTCGTTTGCTTCATACTTGCTTGTGCTACTTCCGGCTGAGACAGGGATGGTTCGGTTCCTTTGGTTTCCCATTGCCATCCACATATCAGTCACCCTGAAGTCGAAACTTCAAACCCAAACCCTAAACCCTAAGCAGTTGTCACCTAGGGCTCCTTCTGAAAAGCTCCACTCGTAAGAAGCAGCGGAAACACTGACATCAAGCCTGACATGGACATGTCTTGCAATACGGCTCGACTGCTGCCATCTCCTCAGACTGAGGCAAGCGCAGTAAAGATGCTTTCCAAAGTAGCTGAAGATCACAGGCCAGAAGCAATTCAGGCCTGACACGGACACAAACATCACTCAAGTTCAGTCGACACACTTGAAGCTTGGTGTAACTTCAAGTGCAGTCGAGCGCACATAAACGCCCAGATTCGAACCGTAAGATTTCGTGCCCAGTCCCATACATGCACAGCGACAGCATGGCTCTCATCGATCCCCTGCGAACCTGGCCCTAAACCCTAAACCGCCTAAACCCCAAGACTCAAAACCCGAAACCCTGAATCCATGACCCTGGCCTACAACCACTGCAACTCCGTGCCGGTTGCTGGGGAGGAAAGCCACAAGGATAAGGACCAGCGCTGCTGGAATGGCCTGAGCCGAGGTGTGCAGTTGGAATGCTGGAGATCCGAACCATGTGTATACGATGAGATTATAACATCGTTATATATATATATGATATAAATCGAACACTGCATATCACATGTTAGAGTTAGAGCATGATCCCTAGCCCTAGCCCTCCAGCCTTTTGTGGGTGTTTTACATCTGGTCCTGCCGAGCTGCGGTGTGGAGCAAGTGGGCCTGCCAGAGCGTCCCACTCAGACCCAGGTAGGACAGCAAGCAAGTGGAGGAGATCCCAAAGGAGCCTGCAGACGAAAGGAGCCGAAACTAGGCCCCTAGGGTTCAGGGCTCAGTTCTTTGGCTTCGGGTTTAGGGTTTAAGGTCAAGGGGGGAGGGGAAGTGGTTGGTACAAGTGGAAGTAGAAGTGCCTTCTTCAGCAGTTCCTTATGAGAAGGATTGAAGATTAAAGGCGAGAAATGTGTCGCCGCAGACTTGCCGAGTTATTGTCATCTGCCATGGCCTTAGGCACCTTCCTTGCAAAGGGTGGGAAGCGTGCTTCTGAGCCCATTTCGGAGTCAAGGGCCAGTGGATGCCCTTGCAATCAACATACTGGCGGGCCTTCCTCGTCACTGTACACTAACCCAAAGGGTCCATGTACTCAAACAGAATATACTTCACCCCCAAAGTACCTATATAGGGAGTACTTTAAAGCTACAGCATAATATACTAGTTGGGCACATGGACTCTTGGGGTAAGCCTTGTCGTACTCTCTGCTCAACGATCCCTGCCGGGCTCCCAGTGCAAATCCCGCCCAACCACCACCGCCCCATTTATAGAGCCCGTAACACAAAGAATGCTGATAGAACCCCCCAACACCCTTTGGAACCAGGGTTTAAGAAGCAGACCGCGCCTTCCGAAGCGCCTTGCCCAGAAATGAAGTCCGTCGTGAAACCAACGAAATGGAGCAAGGCCTGACCAACGCCCGCCTTCAGAGATTCAAGCACCAAAGCTTCCAAACCCTGAAGCCCTCCCGCCATTAGCGCCGATGGCCGTAAAGTAACATGAAGACCCGAAGAGCTCTTTTCGAAATGTGTACTTCTGCAAGCAGAAGTGTGGCAACGCTGGTTCCGACTTGAACTGTGGGTCACAGCCTGCCTCGGGCTTCGGAGATAAAAGGATCATTGCAGAAATGGCAAACCAAGCATCGAAACATCCACTAACTATCCCACTGTCCCACCAAACAGGACCCTTGAAAACACTGGAGAGTTTATACACCGTCCTAAAGAGCCTACCATTTTTCGTCTAAACCTGGCTTCCCTATTGTCTTAAAAGATCCTACCGATGCTTCGCCTATACTTGGTTCCCTTATTGTCTGAAACTCCCACATGTCGGCATGATACTGTGGATGGAGGAAATCTTGCACAGCCTTTAAGAAATGTTATATAGCTTCACCCCACGCCCCC